GCTCGATTAGTACGAATCAAACCGCATCGCGAGGAGTAGGTAATTAAAATTTAACTCTCAGGACTTTGGGGATCGGCGTAATTTATAGTGGCTCACAATTAGGGTAAACCTAAATGGTAATTTAGGAATTTCAAAAGTCCTGACAAAATTCCTGACATTTCGAAATAAGTCCGGACTTTTTAGTCTCAAAATAGTACCATTACTCACTTAGTTACAATGGTATGGTATTTAAATCAATATTTACTTTTATTTTTAGACGACCTCCGTGGTCGAGTGGTTTGTACGCCCGGTTTCATGGTGTCGCCGACTCGAGAGGTCCCGGGTTCAAATCCCGGTAGGGGCAGATGTTTGTGTGATGAATACGAGCATTTGTACTCCAGTCATGGATGTTTAATATGTATATCTATAAAAACATACTTATATATGTACATTATATGTATTCTATCCGTTACCCTCGTATCTCATAACACAAGCCTTATAGTGCTTACTTTGGGGCTAGGCTAATTGGTGTGAGTGTTGAAAATATTTATTAATTTGTTATTATTGTTCAAATTCAATGTAATTTATAAAATCAGGACAATTTAAAGATCCGGACAAGGTGCGGTCTATAGTCCAAAAGTCCGGACATGTCCGGACTAATCCAGACCTATGGTAACCCTACTCGTAATCCAAAAAGTTATTTTTAAAGTATTTGTTTATTAAGTTTTTATGCACACCACTCATTAAATAAAACAAGTTTCAACGGGTTAGATGCACTGATTGATTGATTTCATTTATTTATTGACGTTTCGCATCCTTTGCAGGAATGCGTCGTCGGAATAACGTGTTTTATTTATTTTTAAAGTTAGTAAAACTTTTGGTAATTAAATTCTGTTTGATTTTATTTATTTATAAATTGTTTTCATATTCTGTTTCGGGCAACTCAAGCCTTCTTTAAGTTGAGTTTGTAACTGTCGATATTGAATAAGGTTTTTTTAATAATATTACTTAATGGTGCAAGTGATAAGCGCGTTCTGATGCTATCGGCGAAGTTGTGTAGTAAAATTCAATGATATATTTTTAAATGGTTGATACTTGAGTTGATAGAGGAGCTCGATGGCGCGGGGAGTTAGCGCGTTCGGCTGCGATCGTTGAAGTTAAGCAACTTTCGCAGTGGTTGGTCATTGGATGGGTGACCTAAAATCTTCTATGTCGAGTTCCTCCGTGCTTCGGAAGGCACGTTAAACCGTTGGTCCTGGCTGCTTCTGCAATTATTAGCACACACCAATCCGCACTAGGCCTGCGTGGTGGGTCACGGCCCAATCTCCGTATTCCATCCACAAAGAAGGCCTGTGCCCTAGCAGTGGGGGCATTAATAGGCTGATGATGATAATGATTAGTGTGTTTTCACGAGTTCAGTAGTAAACGACAAGATGCTACATCATCGCTCGCAATGTTCCCAAAATTTCCGTTCAGTTGATATGCTTTTTAGTAACAGCTATGACTAAAACTTAAATAAAAAAAGTTTAAATTATAACCTAACTAGTAGCCCGCTCTCGCTTCGCTTTTGTAAAGACTTCAGATAGATAGATAGATAAACACTTTATTATAACACCAAATACATAATTACGTAACATTCACAAACAATAATATTTCAGTTTTTGTTCCAATATATATATATAGCAAATGAGATTTACAAAAAACGAGGCCTTTTATTGGTCAAAGAATTTTTAAAATCGGTTCAGAAGATCCAGAGATTACGCCATACAAACTCCTTAACCCCGAAATTAGTAAAAAAAAAACAAAACACAAAGGAATTTCGTTATATGTGTTATCTTTCAAAGACGAGCCTGTGTGGTCAATGTCGTGTTCTGTATACATCAATATCATCACACAATCGATTACTCCAACCCAAAACCGATTACACGAATATAACTCTTTTCTCGAGCGCACAAGAGACAGAATGGCATGAGGGTTACGCTAAATCGTTTTAATCCCGGCTGCCTTATCGTCGTTGCTTTACATTAAGTAATTGGTTCTCTCCAGGATATCTAGTAGCGCTGTCTTAGAATTAGCCGCTTTGTCTAACAGCTGCGGCCTGATAGCTTAATAGTTCGCGCTGCGTTGAAACGTGGCTAGATAGTCCATAGCTTTGTTGAAAATTTAAACAGAAAAGCTCTTGATTAATATATTTCGGACCACTTGCAAGAACATTGTTAATTCAAATTTAAGCTTCCAGTTTATAGCCTGCGACGCCAAAGGACTTTTGTCCACGGAGGGCAACGGTCCTTGAATCGTAAAAAATGGCCGCTGAGGACTTGCCACGGACTCGAACATTTGTTCCCGAAATTTTAGAAAAGCGCATACTATGGAAGTGAATATTCTCAGATTACGTTGTGTGTTTATTTGAATGAAGTTTAAGAAAAAGAGAAGATGTTTTAAAATAGAATACTTGGATCCATCTTTTGAAATCAAATCGACGGCGCAACGTGGACTTAACTTATTTTTTTTGGGAACACCTGCGTACTTTTATCTTGTCCAGTCTTTCAATGTCCTTGTTTGTTCTTGGGACTTTTTGTATTTTGACCGCCCAAAAAGGCCACAAGCGTCCTTCGTTTGCGCAGCCTATAACAAATCACTTACGCTTGTAAACTATTTGAATTTTTACGCAAAAACTAAAGTAAAATAGAAGTAGAATTGAATAGAAATAAATTTATTAGCCTTAAACATAGTCATATAAACAGAAATAAAACAAGACAAAATAAGCCAACTATGTCCCTGCCTCAGCTTAATAAGTTCCAACTTCTTCCGTTTGCTCACCAAAACATTTTCCTGTACTGACAGATGTAAGTAATTGCTTCTCTAGCTGAAACTCGGTGTGTGGATCAACTAAGCTCAGTTTTAGAGATATCTTCCAACTTGGTACGAGATAAGAAATGTCAACTAACAAACACGTCTATAGTTTAGAAGTGGTAGTGACAGTTTCCCGTTGTGGTTCGTTTGTGATTTAGCTTTGATTAGTACCGTCGATATTTCGATTTGAGTTTAAAGGAGGAGCTCAATGGTACAAATGGTTAGGGCGTTCGGTTTGCGATCATTGATGTTAAGCAACACTTGCAATGGCTGGTCATAGGATGGGCGACTAAAATATTATTATCTCGAGTTCCTGTGTGCATTGGAAGGCATGTTAAGACGTCGTTTGTTAGCAATTCGCACAGCTGGGTACACGATGGGTCATCGCCTAATCTCCATATTTCATTCTTCTTTGCCCCAGCAGTGGGGACATTAATAGGCTATGCCAGACCAATGCGACATTTTTAAAGCTTTCACGATTGCAGATGAATTTGCTAAAAACACAGCCTCAACGTGCTTATTTTTCTGATATCTCTACAAATAGGTTATTTTAAAGGTAAGCTAAATTCTGGGCGTATAAACGTTAGTCCTACATTATTTTTTATAATAGAAAACCGTAATTGTACTTAGCTCGACCAACCTGTTCAGGAGATTAAGATGCAAGATAAGGCTGTCTAGACATCTTTGGGAGGCGTTATTGATCGAACAAGCTTCTCCCACAGTAGTTATTTGCTGCTGAATATTTGTTAGAAGATTAATTCATAGTGGGGAATAGGGATGGGCCAACGCACTCTCTTTCAAATATTCTGTCTAGAATTGTATCGAGTTAAAAATTTATCAGTTTGAATTTGGTAAATTTTGTAGTTGCGGTAATACAAACTTTTTGTTTTTAAAATGATAAGCAAAATACATGACCATATTTAAAAATTGAAACTCTTGGTGTCTGTAAACTTTGATGAATTTTGATAAATATATAAATAGGAACTTGGAATGGGAAAGACGTGGGGTATATTCTGTCACAAATGCCACCTGTAAATGCGAAGAGAAAGACGATAAATACAGATGAAATTTCTTATGGTATACCAACTATTTTTCTTGCAATCCCGGGCTTCGACTAGTACAGAATAGTACAAATAATATATGAAGTGTTTAACGTATCTGGCGCCTGACTGCAAAAGTTAAGCCACAACCCCTACGTACCTACTTTATGCAAGTAGGAAAGCTCTAAAGCGGTTTATTTCGGCGCTATATATGTAGTTATTTACATTAACCAATCCGGTTCCAGAACCCGTACCTATCTATTATGAGTTACAGCATATTCCCTTTAGAATTATGTATATCGATATAGCGCACAATCATTTTCCATCTTTATTGTTATTGAAATTTATCGAACCCAAATATGGTTAATATTTGGGTCTAACTTGAAATTGGATTTAGGCAATACTGAATTGAAACTTCCCATCCTTAATCTTCATGTATATCTTATACTTATACGTTTAATATGTGGGCTTAAAAGTATAGGTTTGCAAACGAACTTAATTTACAAAAGTTGGGAGGAAACAAAGTTATTGCTTATAAACACAGTAGTGTTTAAGGATGCAAGTTTATGCTATAGTGTCAGATTTAACAAGTACCTAACGCTGTAAAGCATGCTACACACTATACGAAACGTATAACTTATAGCCTTATTAAAAAACATGAACACTCAGTTGCAAAATTGTACATTAAAATTTAACGAGTTTAAAATGCTAATGAGCGCTTAAAATTCATTTGACTGAAAACCGTTACGTATGCCAATTCAAATTGAAGTAAGTGTAGTTGTATTATATAATGGCATTAATGACGATAATGCACTCTGCAAATCAACTTCTTTAACTTTGAATTGTTTTATTTTAAAGGTAAAAACAGCATTTCTATTAAATCTATTTGGTAATCACGCGTAGCTAAAAAAAAGTTTTGTTATCAGAAGATATCTATGTAACTGATCTGAAACGAACATCATCTATAATTAAATCAACTTACAGTAAATTAAGAAGTTCTGACTCGTAAAAAAAATTGTTTACCACAAACTTATCAATTAATCGACTATGGAGTAATTTAGACTCATATAAGAAATTCATCAGATTGTCTTACGTATTTGGATAATAATAATTACTTGGTTTTCACAGGACGATCCTATTCAAAAGGCACAATAGTTCAGTCAAAGAAGATTACTTATCTTCAAATACTTGGGTTTTTCAGGAAAACTTCAAAACACCTTTATTTAGCACACAAGTACATAGTTGCGGCAATAATTATTTGGTTGTCACAGGACTATCCTATTCATGAGGCACCATAGTTCAATCACAGAAGATTACTACTATTCTTCAAATATTTAGGCTTTTCAGGAAAACTTGAAAACACCTTTATTTATCACACAAGCACATAGTTGCAACAATAATTATTTGGTTTTCACAGGACTATCTGTTGAAGAGCCACAATAGTTCAATCACAGAAGATTACTATTCTTCAAATATTTGGGCTTTGCAGGAAAACTTCAAAACACCTTTATTTTTTAGCACACAAGTAAATAGTTGCAACAATAATTATTTGGTTTTCACAGGACTATCTATTCAAGAGACACAATAGTTCAATCAAAGAAGATTACTAATCATTAAATATTTAGGAAAACTTCAAAACACCTTTTTTAAGCACATAAGTACATAGTTGCGACAATAATTATTTGGGTTTCATAGGACTACCTATTCAAGAGACACAATAGTTCAATCAAAGAAGATTACTAATCATCAAATATTTAATAAAACTTCAAATCACCTTTATTAAGCACACAAGTACATAGTTGCGAAAAACTCTAACCTAATGAGTGGTTTGTTACTCGCGTTTCGTGTAAAGACCTCTTTGCGTCTGCCCCTCGCAACACCTCAATTAGATTCACCAAATGAACATGTAAGTCTCAGAATTGGCTGCTCTAATAACAGTGGCCGACATCATAAATCAGCCGGCTTGCAAACCACCGGATCTCCTTAACCCATTGATTACGTGATTTTTAAACCCTTTTACTTTGAGCGTGTTATCTCACAGTATATTAATTTTAAGCTGTTGAATTTGTAACTCCTTTCTTTCTTTTGCGATGAAGATCGAATAAATTATCGGACGTTATATTTTTTATTTTTTTTAAAGCATGTAACTGCTTGATGTTTAAATCTAGAGAAAATATAACTAGGAAAAATTCCACGCGGATCAGGCAGCAGACGGGACTCGAAACCGCACCCTTCGCAACCGGGCGAATGCACTGACCAACTATGCTACCGCGGCCCTCACGGACGCACGCATTATAGGTAACCCACAATGTCAAATGGTCAGTGCATTTGCCCGGATTGCGAAGGGTGCGGGTTCGAGTCCCGTCTGCTGCCTGGTCCGCGTGGAATTTTTTCTAGTTATATTTTCTTTAAATTATTGGACGATTGAAAAATTCAGGCTCTTTCTTAAAATCGGAAACAAGAGTAGCTTTATTTGATACATTTACATTTGTACTGTAACTTGTTTTCCTGGGTATCGTATGTACTGTAACCTGTTAGTTAATTTTCTTTTGCAATTTCAACCATGTCGTAAAGAAGTAAGCAATTTAAATTACCCTCCGTACTTGTTAATAACTGTGTTGCGGTATAGTAGTATTTCTACATCTACAGTGTTACTTCGCTTCGTCAAGGTTCAATAAAATGCATTCATCAACAGCTTATCTTAGTCCACTGCTGAACTTAGGCTATTCCAATTGCACGCCATTGAGATCGATCTTGGGTAACTCGCATCCAGCTCCTGCCAGCTACCTTGAGCAAATCGTCACTCCACCGTGCCTGAGGACGTCTATAAAATCTATAGACGTTCTCAGGCACTGCTCTTACCTATAAAATCCAATAGTTAAATTCAATGATATATTTTTAAATGGTTGATACTTAAAAGAAACTGTAACTAGACAATGGTGTCGATTATGACATGATTCTCTAAACCTAAACTTAAATTTGACAACAGTGTATCCTTGTCGTTCAATACACAGAATGAAAAGGAGAGACTGATGTTAAATTTAGTTTTAAGTTTAGAGTATCATGCCAGAATCGACACCAATGACTAATATATTTAAAATAGATTCAATCAACTAAATGCAAAAAGATGCGGCTACAAAATCTGGTAATAAATACAGTTGAATTTCCCCGCTGATGGTTTCCCAGGAGGTTAAATATTAGTTTAATGAATTTTCGGTTCTACGTAAAGTACCTATTAATATTTGCACTGTATTAGTACTACATTCACTATTATTAAAAATATATTTTTATTCCTTTTTAAAAACAATGAACTTATCGTTTTGAAAATTCCTACTAGACTGACAATCAACATACTCAGGGCCAGTTTCAATAATCAACCTCCAGTAAAAAGGCAAGGATAATCTGGTTGCTTTTCTTATCAACAGTTGTTATTACGATCTAAATAGTAAAAATATCTTAGACTCAACCCAAACTCAAAATTATTTATTCAATCTAGGCTGTTACAAGCTCTTGTGAATGTCAACTCTGTGCCATCGGTTCGTAAATCTACGTCGGGAGGTCTTATACTGAGAAGAACCGGCAAAAAAACTCAGCAAGGGCTCAACGCGAGCGCGTGAATCGCGGGACGAGTAGGGCTGCCATCCGTCCGGGTTTCCCCGGATTTGTCCTAGTTTACGGGGCGTCCGGGGAGCGTCCGGGCGGGGTTTTATTTGTAGTCCGGGTTTAAACATTTACGGCAACGCATGAGTGGCCCTTGGTGCTGCAAGTGTCCATGGGCAGCAGTGACCACTTATTATGAGGTAGACCGCTAGCTCTTTTGCCTAGATCAACATAAAAAAGTTGATTTGTGACATTTTTATAATTGTTTTTTTATTGGTCTGTCCGGGTTCTGGGCTTCAAAATCCGGGATTATCACGCGTCTTATCCTGGTTGCCACATTTTAGAGATGGCAGCCCTAGGGACGAGGCACGAGGCGAATAGCGAGCTCAATGTTTACATAATATGCTTGCTCGTCACTCGCCTCGCCATTCGCCTCGCGCTTCGCACGACTATGTAAATGCGGCATTAAGGAATAAACTCCACTCACACTGAAATCAGCTGGAGTGTGGTAATTTTCTGTGCCTCGAGGATAAAGAAAAAACAAAATATACTTTATAATAACAGAGCATCAGAAAATTATTTGATTTAACAACCAGCTTTGTCCATCGATAGCAGTTTACTATTCAATCGTAAATACAGAAGGTCGATGCGAACCTATGCAGGTTATTTACAGCAACATGCCATCTAAACAAATATGGCCGGTGGAACTTCACGATCTGATAAATTTGAAAACATGTATTTGTAACGTAATCCATCGGTGCGCATATACAATTTCATAACGTTAGTTTTCTTACCGCGAATTTGTCTTCGTAATCAATGAATTATGCGTGTGTATGAATTATTAAAGGATATAAAATATAAATAATGCTTGCGTTTTGCATCGAAGTTATTTAAAGGTATGTTGTCATCGTCTTTAAACCACCTGATAGAATCTTGATCCATAGGTACTTTTTAATATCTCGGTACCTTAAAGTCGAGTATGTTATCTCCCCATGCTGAACTACATAAGAGCGAGAAAAATATAGAAATTGCTAAGTTTCTCACATATTTTCTTAGAAAACTGTACAATAAAATACCTACGGGTCGAGCTCGCTTACGAAGGCAGGTATTTATTGTATAAGATTTATCGATAGGTCTAGCAAATGCTTTCTAAAAAATAAAGTTTAAATGAAAAGTGTTCGATGTTGTGGTTGTTTCCAAGAGGTTTCTAACCTTTTTGATTTAAACTTCTCTTTTTCCGTGTTCTATTTTTAAATTGCTTTTAAGGTTTCAAATGCGCTTCATACTTTTTATTAATTATGACGGAATATGAAGAAATGTGAAGAAATTTTAATTTCGTTTCGTTTTGGGATAAGTACTTTGGTTCAGGGTATGTACGCCCATATTAGATACGTGATACCAAGTTTCAGAAAGAAGCTCATGAAAACCACAGAGACTTACCTATCCAAGGATAAACCATATCTATCCATAAACTCTACAAATGGAAAGTATAAAGACGATTTCCGCTTTAAATTAAACAAGACATGGAAATAGTGCGTCATACTCATAGGTAGGGCACTAATTCCTAACCTTAAATACAAACACATCGCGTGCCGTATAATTATTAATTATCAGTACTGTTGCATTCAAGGCTTTTTCGAAACACTGTTGCCAAATTTTGTTTATTATTTCTTGAGTTCCGTGCATTCTATGACCTGTATAGTATGCTGTATTGAAAGAAAATCCCAAACATTGAATTCTACCATATTTACCAGGCAGCGGACGGGACTCGAACCCGCGCCCTTCGCAATCCAGGCGAATGCACTGACCAATTATTCTACCACGGCCCTGATGGCCGCGTCGAAATTTTCCTAGCCTTAAGCTGCAATGCAGCGCCATCTCTTCGTATTGTTGGTAACCCACAATGTCAAATGAATAGTTTTTCAAGTATTAAATATTTGAAAGAAAAATAGCAATTATGGTTATGTTTTTTTTTCTAGTCAAACTTTTCTTTAGATTTAAACATCTAGCAGTTAAATGCTTAAAAAAAACAAACTGTTATGTTTAGATTACGAGAAAAACCTTTTAACTGCCACACCGCATTCGAATTCATAATTCGAAGAAGATGCCTTTTTTTGTCTGGGAAATGCCTTACGCATCCTTCAACCACTGGGGGAGCGAGAAGAAGGTATGTTGGGACTCCTCCCTGCTCGATGAAATGAGCAGGGCTCTACCTAATGCCCTGAACAGGGCCACTAAAAACCAGACAATACTCCTACACCGTCATCAATGCGCGTCCGAAATGCGGATGTGGTCGAAGAAGAAGATGCCTAATAAATATATATCAAATTCCCCATCGGCACTCAGTTGCCTGCGGATATTTTCGGAATTTATTTATCAAATGGAAAAATATTTGGTTTAACCCTAAAGTACTCATTTCCCTTCTCATTCTCGTAAATATAATCACATTTAAATATTTTATGCGTTGACATAAAAGTCATAATAAAAATATTATATATATTTATTTTCCTCAAACACTTTTATGTGCTTAAGAAATATCCTTGTATGAGTTTTTA